CTCCCCAGCACTGGGATTACAGGTGTGGACTCCCATGCCTGGTCTGTAAACATGCAGCATTAGAAAGAAGCTGAATTTTGTCAACATAATACAAATTGGAAAAGTCATTCAATCCTAAATAACCTAGAAGAAAGGTACTGCATTGCCATAAAAATGGAAGATGGCATTATTTGTAATTGAAAAGTGAGAAGTAATTATTCAACAATAATAGTCTTCAATAACAACTCTCTTATAGAAATATTACATTATTTTCATGTTTAAATCAATTGTCTTAGACTCCATTTTTTTTGGGAATAGAAAAATTATTCATGGTTATTCATAATTATTTTCTTTGAATTTATATGTATATTTATTTTTGTGTTTATTTTTGGCAGAATTGGGGATTGAACTCAAGCCCTTGCACTTGCCAGCAAGTGCTTATTCTACTGAGTTATCTCCCCAGCCACTTATCTGTATATTTAAATGTTGGAGGCCATTAACCGGTATCCATTCTATTCCTCTGCTGAGTCAAGTTTATGGCCCTTCTCACCTTGCCCATTCCCTGTGAATCACGTGCTATGCCCTAGGGGTTGCACCCTCCCCGTTACCTAGATACCTGCTGACCCCAAGAGCCGAGACTTCCTCATTCCATCACCCCCTATATATACCCAGAACCTCCCCTAAATAAACGAGGCTTGATCAGAACCTTTGTCTTGCCTCCGTTTCTCGCGTCTCCTGTCCTTTGTCCCCTCTTCAATTCCCCGCTCCTCCCCCAGGTGACCTTCGTTGACTGACCCGCTGGTTCGGGACATTTAAATATACCAATAGTGAAATGGTGAATTGTAAATTTTTCACACATAATATTACATACATATGTTATAATGAGGAAAAATAAATACACAATTGAAGAGAAACACACTTAGAATTTATTTATATACTATATTTTCTTTGAAAATATGTACACATCGTATTTCATTAATTTTTAATTTTGGAATTTGAACTTATAAACAGACCATGGGGCCAGGCTCTGTAGAATAAGCACTTCCCTGGCATGCATGAGGGTCTGAGTACAACCCCCGGTTCCACCAAAAATAGAAATAAAAATAAAAAAAATAAAAATAAAAATACCATTCCAACTTTAGTTGATAATGACATTTAAGACTAATATATAAGGTCAACAGACACGTTAACTTTTATCTCTCAAACAAATAATTGTTTGTCCATAAGAACAAAACACTACATTAAAAATTTTCTCCATGAGTCTCCTGAGAATTACTGAGACCCACAGCGCACTGTGCATTTAAAACTCATAAGTCACTTCATAATGTAAAATTCATGCTTATTTCCATTTCACTATCTTGGTTCCCAAAACTTGATAAGTGCTTTAATGTCGTAGTTACATAATTTAATTTGATGTGATTAAATATGGTTCATATCAGTGTAAACCAGAGGGGTCGCTTTGCACGAAACCAGTGCTGAGTGTCTCAGACACAATGCAATGGAACACACAAAATTAGCTCCCTCTAATTAAAGGCATGTGACATAATTCTAAATCACTGGAATGTTGTTTTGTAAAACTTAAATAATATTGTATATCTCAGGATATTTTGCAAGTGGCTTTTACCTTCTTGTTCTATTTCAAATCACAAAATTAAGAAGTCATGATTTCCAAGTCATTAAATATACAGGATTATATATTTGTGATTCAAATATGCCCCTGGGTAAGGTAGATTAGTGTCAAAAGTCAGATCAATACATGGGGAGAAAAGCTTTCTTCACAGTTGGAACTTTTCAATTACAGCTGTTCATCTCACATATCCTATGAAGGACTTACTGTCCTTGTTGTCCTAAATGTCATATTGAATTCTTTTTACATCTGAAATATTATGACATATATTATCCATATTAGTTCTACTGATACCAGCACTTTAATAAGAACTTTTCTGAGCAAATGGTCATGATAATGCATTCAAGTTGTTATCATGATAAAGTCCAAATATCTGAGCCTAAAGTCAAACCAAGATTGAATAAAAGGAAATTCAAGTAAAAAGAGTATACATCTATTTCTGACTCATGATATTTCAACCATAAAATAATCACAGCTCAGGTAAAATATTCAGAGAAAGAAAGATAGGATGATGAAATACTAAATTCAAATAAATATAGCGTATCAAAGTTGTATTGATCATATATAAAGGATTATCTATTAAAGATAGATACTAGATAGATACTATACATAGATACTCTATATATAGTCATTAGAATTAATAAATATCAAGAAGAAGTAACCTAAGGAAAGACAAATGGCAAATAGAATAAGGCATGCTACTATGCTGAAATTTCAAATGGAATATTATCATATCATGACATAGGATGAAAGTTTCTTTAATGCTAATGTTATTCCAGTA